TGTAAAAGCAGGGGTTTCATTTCAGCCTAATCATCTCCAAATTTACTGTTTATCCCCTAAGTTTACTACTGGTTGGCAAGGCAGGGGCAAGTGAACAGAATCACAACAGTCCAGACAGAGGAATGCATTACCCCTCTGCAAATTTTTGCACTTCTTATGCAGGCTCTTCTAATAAAGACTTACATGACCCAGCTTAGCAGTTCTAGAATCTCAGCATTGTATCCATTTACTTGTCTGAAGATGTGTCACCATGGCAGTGCTGCCATGTGCTGGTCTTCCATTACTTGCATGAATATTCTTCTGATTTTTAGTCATGTGTATCATATAAAAATTATGAAATCACAAATATCTGTAACAATTTCCAGATTTAAAAGTGTCAACAACAACACTAACGAAACCCACCTAACGAAATTCAGTTTGTCACCATTCGTTATAAATTTTAGTAAAGGAAAATAGGGAATCCTCTTTTCTTACTCGTAATTATAACCTTAATAACATGCCTAAGCAATGAATTTTCACCAAAGGCTTGAACACAAGTTATTCAACTGGAATAAGACAAGAACTAACATAACCTGAGCAAATACTTGAAGTTGTAGGTAATTTGTCCTATTCGGTCACCATACAGACCTCTGTCCTTACAATGAAAACTTACTTTGAAGTAATGGCTGTGAAGGAAAGCCATTTTCCTTTCTCTGAAAAAAATAAGGCAGCTCTGAAGGGCTCCTTTGTTTAACCACACTGTAAGAGGAAAACATCTCTAGTAATCAGCTCAGCTCCATTTGAGAGCGTATTTTCCTCCTTGTGTACAATTTCTCATTAGCTATGTCTTACATTGTGCATGAGAACTACCGTAATATTATCCCCTAAGTCAAGATAGGTTGTAATCGAAATAGCTGTAGTAGGCAAGCACTACAGACGTGGGTCTGGGTAAACCACAGTCTAGACCACTTGCCCCATTTTACGTAACAGGTCACAGTCCTTGGCTCTAGCAGCGGAACATACTTTGCACACATAAGCAAATATCTGCAGCATTTCCTGACTTGTTAACTTTACGTGCTCTGAAATGAAAGATATGGAGCAGCCCTATCACTTCCAGAGAAATAAAGAAGTGTTAAAGGAGTTACCGCACCATTTTCACTAACGCTAAAATCAACAACACGTAGCCCCAGGCAATTGGCAGACTGGTTAAAAAGCCCACATACCAACCACTACGTAATTCAACGCTGTCTGATGCTATCGCAGCTACGCCAGCACAGCAATATTGGAATTGTGCTTTACACTGGATAAACAAACAGGGGTGTCAGAAGTTCAGACACAGCTAGTCTCTCATTGTGAGTTCAGAACTTGCATCACGGGTTTTATTTTGAATAAATAGACATCAATTAAATAAAAGCAGTTCCCAACCTGTCATTGAAACTAGAATGAGATACCAGGTTTCACATGGGATATGCACATTCCTGGACAGACAAGCAGACATGAACAAGCTACGCGGAGTTAGGCAGATGATACCACAGGCTGAAACAAGGCAGGAAAAGACACTGGAAATTACAAATGAGGGAAAAAAGACACTGTCTGATCCCACCACACAGCTGCACAAGTGGGACACCCCAGCCGTACCTTACATCAGCAGTGTTAAGATTCGCACTCAAAACAGAATAAAGATCCATCCACGCTCAAGTGATTTCAGCACTGTCCCTTCTCACAGCTTCTGATGCTCACCAGGCAGGAGGAAGCAAACTCCACTGAGACACGAAGTAACAAAGTGTCCTTCTTCTCTAAGGGAAAGGAACCCAACATTCAACTGCAGGCAACTACTGAAGCTCTAATTTGGACGGACAACTCCCACCCCAGTAACTGAAACCCATGACAGAAATGGTAGAGTTTTCAACTCCCCAGAAGATGAAAGCAGCAATGGAAACTTCATAACCTGTCCACGTCAGCACTAAGAAAGCTCTTTCAGTCTACAAGCACCAAAGCTCTGGTTTCTGCTCATCCATGTTTCTCATACATTGCCTTGGCTATGGAGTTAGTGGATCCCTCAGAAACATTCTCAGACAAGCATACTGTGAATGATTTTAAATACATCCATGTATTGGAAGCCGTTCCTTCCCAGTGGAAAGAGAAGTGGAGACAGAAAGAAGATGTTGGCTTTTTTTTTCCATAGCAGCCCATGCCTTGACGCTCCAACGTAAGTGCAAACAAGCATTTAAACAAAGATCAGTTGCATCTGCAGAATTTGTGATGTGGAATTCATTTTAGAAAAGATATCAATATAGCTATGTATTTTATGTCAGTGATGGTGAGTAGTGGAGCACAGATTATTTACTATGCAGAAACCAAGACCTGAGAAGCAATAACATCCATATACTTAGTGAAAGAGTTGCTGCAACTCCCACGTTCTCACTGTTATGTCTCCTCTTCCTCAAACTTACACCTCAAGTACCCTCCCATTTCAACCATCAGTCTTCAGTATGGTAGCCTGTTTGCAGAGAGCAATCACTATTGAACAGAGGAAAACATTTAAAAACTGCAGCACTCCTAGAAACACACACGTCAAATCACTTTTGCCCTCACAAGTGTGAGCTTCTCTAACATCAGTGGGGTTACTCAGAGAAAAGAAGAGGGCAAAAATGAAAACTGAGCCTCAAGGTTGAGGCTGATGTGAGATTTTCTTCATGTTGTACACAAAGGTATCATTACAGTAACAGACTAAACTGTACACACAGTAACATGTACAGTCAGAATGTCTAGAAAGCAGATGAAATAAGTATGGGTAAATAATAAAAAAACCACAACTTTTTCCAATAAGCTTTGGAATACAGTATTTTCTCTTTCAGTTTATTTCTAGACATGACTATTTCATACCCGTAACAATGAGACTCCCCGTTGTTCTCAAATACACCTGCTGACCCACAGACACGTGGCAGAAGTTTTACAATGCAAATATTGGCGGCTAGTACTTTCTAAATCAAAGTGGACTTAAAAGTATCATCAAGCACAACTTTTCTATGTACAAATATCCAGGAAATGCTGTACCATAAAAGCAGAAGAAAAAAATATCAATAAAACCATACCTCTTCTACACTTGCTTTACCAATGAAGGATTTTAGGTCCACAAGTACTTTAATTTTTTAAGTTTTTAATCTCCACCACAGAAAGAACTAAGAATCAAAGCCCTGAAGCATGAAACCGTTTTCAGTCTTACTGCAGAATGCATTACCTTCACTTTGACAATTTAAGGGAAGTTTCAGTACCAGCGCAAAGCCGGATTTTACTGTATTGACAAACTTGGAAGATCACATCTCAGTTTTACTGACAGCAAGCCCTCCTTATGTTCTATGGTTTCAGAATGCGCATTTTCTAAATACCTGGGAAATACAAAGGACTCTCAAGCAAAGCCATCACAAGACTTTCAAACAATTCTTTTTCCAAACCAGGTCACCAGAACAAACAGATTGTAAATACAGGTACTGTAAATACAGGTAATGTAAACTGCAGATTAAATGGGCTTGTCAGTCTCCTGTGCAGGTGATTCAAACCTTCATGATTGAGCAATGTACGCTAAGTTAGGAATTCCATAGCACAAAATCCCTGTGCTTGTTTTCTATGACTGACAAGGGTAAGCAATTATTTCAAACACTGTGCTCTCTCAAGAAGGTCTCCATTTCCTTAGTTCTGATGACAGACCATCGAATCTGAGGACTTGATTTCTCCTTCACCTGTAATCAATGCACTAATGAAACAATATTTATCCTGTACCTATAGGATGGCAAGCAGACCACTGCTACTCAGCCACGTAGTCTAGTAATGACAGCAGAGACTCAAACTTTACCACCAAGTATGCATACCCTTGAACTCTTCAGGGCCAGAGAACCCGTAGAAAATAATTCTAAATTAGTGCATTCCTGGCGCTATTATAACAAGTACGTTCTCAAATTTCACTTTTTGCTTCACCTCGATTACAGTGCCTCACACTCTGCTTTGCAAACAGAAATTCAAAGTTTAACACCGAGTAATTCTTTAAATACGTTACTTCTTGAGACGGGAAAGTGAGAACTTTTTTATTGTCCACAGTAAAAAGAAAAAAATCAATGAGTCAAAGACGCCAATTTATCACAGGTGTAATAAACAACACCGTCCCGTACACTTTACCGCCTCACTAATATTTACAAGGCATCTAAATTCCTTTGCACTTGAAAGCACGTTAGGCACGAAGTTCACCGCGGCTGGAATTTGCTGCCGCAACAAGTGTGAGAGCGGAGCGGGCCTGCGCAGCGCGTGCTGCCTGTCACCGCTCCCTCCGCGAGCCGCAGGCAGCGGGCTGCTCACCGCTCGGAGAAACACAAACCCAGGCTCTCATTTATAATGCAGGACAGCTCGTTCCAAGCGTTCGTAACGCCTTCTCTAAAGTTTCTGATAACTCGAATAGACCGTTTTTAACATTATTTCCGTACTGTGTATATCAACACAACACGTACACGAAGTTCTCTCTTCCAGTTACTTTCCAGGAGCGCTGCGGCCAGAACTCGAGGCAGGTACCCGGGCGGCTCTCCTCTCCGCACGGCTGGCGGGGCAGAACCGCGGCAGGACCCGCCGCGCGTCCCGACCGCCGCCGCCCCTCCCCAGCTGGAAGACCGGCCCCGACGACTCACGCGCTCGCAGCACACGAGCCGCCCACGCCGCTCACCAGAGCGTTTTCGAGGCGAGTTTTGCCCGTTTCAGCCTTCAGAGCTGGAAGAGGCTGCGGCTAGCGGGGAGCTGAGCCGTGCCGAGGCCTAGCCGGCACGCGAGGCCTGCGGCCGCTTCCCCGGCAGCGCGGCGCTCCTCGGGCAGGGACGGCCGGGCGGGAGGCCGGGGGTGCCGCGCGGGGGCGGGATGGCGGCCGGCCCCGCGGCCAACTTTCGTACCTGTCGGGCGGCCCGGCCGCTCTCGGAGCCCGCGGCCAGCTTTCGTGCCGAACTCCGCGGCCGCAGGCCGGCAGCACCCCGCCTCGCACCCACCTGTCCCTGGGGTCGATCCAGCTGGTCTGCTTGGTGTTGTGGTCGATGTAAAAGACTTTGCCGTCGTAATCCCTCGCCTCCTCCCAGCCATCGGGTAAGGGGAGCTGCCCATTCCCCGCTTTCCTAGGCATGGTCGGCCGGCGAGGGCGGCTGCTCCATAGGGACGGAAAGAAAGAAGGGAAGCGGGAAAAGCCCCCACCCGAGCCGGGGAGACGGGGAGGGGGCTCGCAGCCGAGCCCGGCCCGGCGCCGGGGGACGACGCTGGCGGCAACCAGGCGAGCGCTCCTTCACCGCCGGCTTTCGGCCCACCGTGCCGGGGCTGCCGCGGGCGGGCGAAGGGGCGGGCGGCAGCCCGGGTCAGGGTTCCCGGCGGAGCCCAGCTGCCGTCTGGGCGCGGGGAGCCCGGCTGAGCCCCGGGCGGCTGCGGCCGCCGCTCATTAGCATGAGATTAGCATCCACCTCATCTGCATGCACATTCCTCCCGCCGCATTCCTCAGGATTAACCCTGCCGGCGCTGCCCCGCGCCCGCGGGACGGGGGGAAACCCAGGCCCGGGCGGGGCCACGGAAAAGGCACGAACGAGTCCGGCGGAGGAAACAGGGGCGGGAGGAGAAGGGCCGAGGCAGGCCTACGGCTTCCACCGGAGCCGGCTAGGAGAGGAAGGGGGAAAACGGAGCGGGGGGCGGCGTGCGGGCTGCGGGAGACGAGGCGCGCCCGGCGCTCCCTTTGTCCGCGAGGCGCCGTCAGGCGGCGTGGCCCGCGGCCCTCGGGGCTCTCCCGGCGCGTCCCTCCCGGCCCGCGGCGGCGCGGGCGCTGAGCTGCGCGGGCGGCTCCGTTCCCGCCCTGCCGCTCCCCTCTGAGCGTTACTCGGTGCGCGCCGCCTGAAAGCGCTCCTCTGAACTCTCTCTAAAACTCCGTTAAAGCTCGAGGGTTGGTAGAAAGACTTCGGTGCTTAACATTTTTCCCTTTCGCTCCAATTTTGAGCTTCTTCTCTTGAACTCTGAGAGGACTTTAAACTTTTCGATCGTTTGTTTTTTTACCAGAAGCGCCGGCAGGGAACGTGCACGGACTGTGTAGGTGCCCTTCTGGCCTGAAAGGCAGCCGCACGCACGTTGCGTTGGGAAGCCAGGTGTGAATTACGGCGCGGGAGAGGAGTAGTGAGGCAGGTTGCCATGGCTCGGCTGATAGAAGGTAACCTAACGAGCTCTGTTAATTAGCATGTGTATCTGATCCCCAGGGTTTGGCTTCAGAAGTGGAGCGGCGGAGCGAGAGTATGACTGTAGTTCTGTGGCTGGCACTCCTGAGTAGCCCAGGTTTTGCTCTCTGCTTTCCAGATCGTTTTCACTTTTCTGGATTCAAAAAGCAAAGTTTTTGTGGGGAAGGAGGTTTGGAACCCAGACGTGTGGGTTTGTTGTTGTTAGTTTGTTTGTTTTTGCCTATCCTGCAGCTCCATGGATTATTCTCCTGATACAGTTTGTGCCTACTAAGCAGCAGGCTTGTCCAGTGCCCAGCAGGGTTTTGGATTGCACTTCAGAGGCCAGGCACCCAACCGTTAGGTGCTGCAGTAATTGATTTACAGGCATCCAACTCTCGTTGGATCTGCTCCTAAATAGAAAACAAAAAAAAGAGGGGTATGATCTTAATTTAGCTAACTGTTGATCTGGTAAAGACATTTGTTGTCTTAGTTATTCTATTCATTTTAGTCTGTAATAGTAATCTGCTATTCCATCTCTGTGAATAGTTGTATGCCTCCCAGAAACACCTGCTGGTGAACTTTCAAACTCTCTTGAAGACTTCATTTTCACATCTGCTGAATGAAGGCAATGTGCAATGAAAGTACATACTTCAAGAAATGCCCTGGTGACTAACAGTGAGGAGAACTGAGGTGTACAAGCCTCTGCAACTCCGTAAGAGTTCAGTTACAGAAAGTAACAGTATCATTGCCTACTGAAGTGACAGGCTCATTTATTTTCATTGAGGTTATTATGTTTCAGTCAGCTGATTGGTTTATGAAGTCCAGCCTTGTTTTTCACCAGTGTGAAGTAGTCCTTTTACTATCCATTGAAACTTCTGTATCTTCCAAGAGTCTAATTTTATAAACTTGTTTTTAGATGTCATTCTACAGTGAGAAAGTACACGTTACAATCATGAGATAGTCTAAGCTGGATTTCTGCTTTAGTTTGCTTTATCAATAATGTTTCTTGTTATGTGAATTGAGAAAAGCTTCCAGTTTCTCTGGAACTAGCTGCTAGTTAGCTATCCTTGGCACGAATAAGAAGCTTTTATAGTGGTACAGTCTTTTTCCTTCCTAAAAAGCAGGCCTGTCATACAGCAGCACTGCTATATTCCTACTTTGTAAATAATCCACACAGAAGAGAGCATGTGGTTAGGAAATCCATGATACTAAGCTAAAACTGAAACATCATTTTTGTCAGTATTACCCCCAAAATTAATGATGATGTTACCTGATTTCTGTCCTGTGTCATGACTTCAGCAGTCCACGTGTGGTGTGCATGGATGTAGAACTGATTTATAGCTATCTCTTTGGGTAAAACTTTTCGCCAGAAAAAGTCAACATTTTTGTTTGCACGAACAGTGGAAATGGCAACTCTTAATTTTTGGACATAAATATGTTAACGCCACTGCATACTTGTCTAGTTTCTGTTTGGATGCTTGTGTGTGTGTATACAGATGTGCTTACACTTAACCATAGATTGTTCCATGGTAAGTCTTAGGCTTTGCCCTTCCTCCATCCATTGTTTGAGTACTTCATTGTACACATTTGAATCCACAGCCCAGAATCCTAAGAAGTTCTAAATTGGCAATGACAATAGTTGAAGTAATACTGACAAAAAGTAGGAAATGCTGTGTAAGTAAATTCCTTTATTGTTATCAATTGGAATGTTAGCTTTTGTTGTAGATAGTAGATTCCCACTATCATCTTGTTTTCTGCTATTTTGCAATTTGAACTGGTAGAAAATAGTTTCTTCCACTGTGGTATTCTTTTAGTATGTCTAGTAAAGGAGGGCAGAGTAGAGTATTCCTGATGATTCTTTTCAGTCTAAAATACACTATAAATTTTAACTGTAAATAGTTTTGCAAGAACACCTACATCTCAACACGCTGTGCTGACGTTGTCAGCTGGCAAGCATACTGCAGACTGTTTGGTTTAATTGTACAAGACAGGATAGCTCAGAAGATGTAAGCTTGCCTTATTTAGAGCACAGAAGGGTACATAGGAAGGAGTTTTCTAAAGTATGGGAAAATGTAGCTATGACATGACTTGCATGTCTGCCAGTAAGTATGATAAATAACAAGATAGGCTCAATGAAAAGGAGTTAATTGTTCCTCTGTTTTGCTGTGTATGTTTAACAGGTCTGAAGAATCATATGTAGTATGCAGTTAAAGGACTGAGTTAGAGGAAATTAGAATCACAGCTGTTTTCTGTCCTTTCTGTGTTACTGTTACCAGCTTGGAGAAAAATATCTATGGAAAATTTGGAACCTAAGCAGGAAGGAGATCCAGAAGAGGATCTGCAAAGGCAAATAGTTGTGCCTTTCATGTAACAAGAAGAGTACCTTACTCCAGTCTGTACTAATGTAGTTCATCTCCTGCTACTCCCTGCTTGCTTCTTGACTCACAGTAAATCTGCTTCTGGTTCTAACTGTGATTACAAAAAAGGCATATTTGTGCCCTTTCCTTTTATAACAAAAGACTCCTGTAGTTTGATGATCCACTGAAGTGATGTCCCTGAAGAAATTTACAGTTGTTACAGTTCTAATTCATACTAACCACAGATGGTTCAGAATCAAGAGCTGTAGCTGTCTCCCTGAAAAGCTACATCATAGCTCAGTCTCCACTGCTTTCAAACAGAATTTGAATGCAGAATGAATTATGAAATACGCTGTCAGAATTAATGAATCTCTAAAAATCTGACAAATGCTTGAATATATATGTACTGTTTATGCTGCTGGTTTTTTTTTAGACACTCAAACACTATACAAGCCAATCTGGACAGCCAATCTGACTTCCTTGACATACGGCTATTGTAGAACTGTAAAAAATGTCAATATTCTCCGCATTATGGATATTGGCTTATTTATAAGCACAGTGATTTTTGTCTAAAACAGCCAAGTCTGCAAAAAAAAAAAACCCCACCACCAAAGCCAACTCCAAAATAAACATACAAACAAAAACCCAAGTAGGGCTCCATTGTTCCTGGAGATTTTCAGTTTTAAAAACAGTTTTTACAGTGCTGTGGATAAAACTGTACATGAGGGAGGGAAAGCAAAGGAGGAGGAGGGCTGTTTTTCCTACTGTCAGCTACCGGTGCGTGGATGCGACTGACAGTAAAAGATCTTTGAATGATACCATTTCTAGCTGAATTTATGATGAAGCTCTGCAGAAGCAATGAAGCCAGTGAACGGCTTTGATAGTACTTACTCTCATTCCACTTTTCTCTTTATGCCAAAGCCTGCTCTTTCCACTGATGTTCAAGTGGAGTACTGCTAAAATAAGATGTCCTACAAGGACTTTCCATAGTATTAATGAAAAAGACCATACCAGAATCTTCTACAAATATATGTATAAACTTTCCCAAAATGTTAACTTTGTTTTTCTTTCAGGCATGTATTAAAGAAAATAGTCAGAAATTACACAAATTACACATTTTGAGTCCTCTAAGACAGTTACAGTCCCATGAATCTGAAAACAAGTGCACAGATTGTAACTATTGTTCTGATTAAAAAGTTAGGGTAGGTGGAGTGGAAATGACCCTGATAGAATTGCTTCAAGCTTAACTACGGAAATGCGAATAACGCTTTCGAAGTAAAAATCTTCTAAAATTCAGCCCAAACAACTCATTAAACTAATTCAGCTTTCAGTTTTGTTAACTGTGATTAACACTGTTGATATTTTTGTAGGCAAAATAAAAAGATGGTGGAGAATTTTGGTTGTTCCTAGACCCCTAGGCTTGGTGAAGTTCAAATTAGCCATTGAGACGTATTCCCAGATAATTTTTTGATGCAGTCTTGGTATGTACTCTCAATGTTACATTTTCTATAGAGACAGTCTTACTGTATTTTTAATTTTTAATAGTATCTCTCATTCTAGTGCACACAAATTTAACTTTCCTGCATTTCGTCATATAACAGTGGAATTGCACTGTTTATTCACCTCTGTCTAATGGCTTTGAAGAACCCAGAGGCTCACCTCGTCAGCACAGGAGGTTTTCAAGAGCCTGATCTTCTCTTTTGGCCACGTGTAAGACACGAATTGACCAGCAACGCTGGGATTCTACTGAGAGAAGAATGAAAGAATTTCTTAATAACACCTCTGTGGTGGAGAACTGCAATGAATTTTGTCTAGTATTTAAGATACTCCAAGCAGTGTACAGATTTATAGAGAACGTTTCTAACATTTCCTCTCTACTGGTGCAAGGACTGTGTTCCCACCACAGCCAGAAGGTGGCACTTACATATGTCTGCTGTGTCGTATCTGAAGGAAGCAATGGATGAAATACAAAAAATGAATGTTATATCAGTGGCATTTGGAAATGTGGCTCTCTTTTGTATCATCCATGTACTTTCAGAAACACAGTGCAGTAAATGAAGTAGACTGGACTAATTGCATGAATGTTTAAAACTTGCATGATCAAAAAAAGATCTGTCTGATGAAGAAGCTTAAGGACCTTTTTTTTTTTCTAACAAGTGAAAAATACTATTTGAAACACAGAACTATTATAAAACTTCCAAACTGCAATATGAAAAAGAAATGCATGTTTCTGCTTCCCATCTCTTCTTTCCCCTCAATACGAAAAGCTCAGTTTCCTCATTTGAGTGCAAAGTAGTTTGACTCCCATCCTGGCAGACAACAGACAAACCCCAGTTCTATCTCATTGCTAACAGAGGCTAAAAACTGTGCTACAGAAATAAAATCTGAGAGCCTGTACAAATTTATAGTAGGAATGGGACTGTTGAATCAATAGCAAGATTCAGCACTGCTGGTCTGCTAGAGGTGTTTCTAAATTGTACTAATCATCCCAAAGCATTTTTCGTTCTAGTCTGGTTATTCAAAACCCAGAATCTCAATGAAAAGATTTAAAGATCATGGCATACTGTTATTATGTTCACTTTGTGGTGGACATGTGAGAAGAGATGCATTAAATGGCTTAATGGAGTAAAAAATACCTA